TCAGCTATTTTTAATGCACTTTTAATTGCTAGTTCAAGTAATGTCAAGGCTTGGTAATAAGCGTTAGCACGGAACATTACCATTAAAGCATCATTTAAAGAAGTTCTCAACATTCTTAAACACAAATTACCGAGTTCACTAACGGGAACATAAATTACCATTTCGAAAAATTAAGAGTATAACAAGATTTAAATGCTATATTTTAGGTACATAAGATGTATTATTGCACATAAGTTCACCGTAATTATCCAATACAATTTTAATGGATTACGCACGTGAACTTCGAGCGTGACTAATACGAGATCCATGAAAATAAATAATATAAACACTTGACATTTCTAACTTGGAATTTCCCGTACGTAATGTGGAAACAGTATTTTGTACGCAATCTGTGTGTTTTATGAGTTCCTATTTCATCGGTCAAAGAGGCTAAATACAAGATAATGAGTAATTTGTCAGATCATCCGTCAAGTATTTAACGAACTAGTCAACAGAAGAGAAATGTTTCAAAGTATTTAAAGAACTCGTCAACAGAAGGGAAATCTTTCAAAGTATTTAAAGAACTCGTCAACTCAGTGGCACAGCAGTATGTCTGGGGACTTACAACGCTAGAATCCGGGTTTCGATACCCTTGGTGGGCAGAGCACAGATAGCCCATTGTGTAGCTTTGTGCTTAATTACAAACAAACAAATCATCCCACCAGTGGCACAGCGGTAAGTATACGGATTTACAACACTAAAATCCTGGGTTCGATTCTTCGCGGTGGACATAGCAGAAAGCCCACTGTGGCTTTGCTCTAAACAAATAAATATTTTCCATTTAAAAAAGAGCAACAAAAGTTTAGACGATTAACTCCTTTACGGATAAAGGGGGCAATCAACCTGATTTCCTATGTAAAATGAGGCCCGAAGGTTCCTCGTGCGCTACCTATTTTAGTGTGTGTATTTCATACGGCTTATGTTCAAGTACTCGTGCGTGACGAGAAGAACAACTTATACTAGTAATGAAGATAACGGTATGTATTTTAGGCCTACGCTCAGGAGAGGAAGTGTCGGTTTTCGTTCATGCTCCAGCAGTTCCCAATTTCCTTCAATAATAGAGTTTTCCATACGGTGATTATTCTCTGCAGAAATATCAAAACCAGTCTCCGTGACTGCTCATCTTTGGCACTTTAAGAGTTTTTTTTTTTTTTTCTAAGAATATAAAGGACTATTCTCCATATGTGTCTCAACTTCTTAGGCACAACGAATCACGTGGTCCTTTAGAACGTTTCTACTTCCTTTTCACGTGCTTTGATGACGTACTCTGCGATACCTATAATGGCCCTGCATTGAAACAAATATTTTACTAAACATTGTCGCAGAAAATACCCGCGGAGTTATCTACGTCACATTTTCAAATGTAAAACTTGCTTTGTATTGGAAAAGAAAAAAACGACATTAAATGTAAATCGTTGTGAGTCTGTCCGTCGTCTGTTACAAGTGCGTCTTAAAAAAATAGAATAGCCTAGTCGTTCTGATACTTGTAAGTCTGGTACATATTGAGTCTGTCCGTGTTCTACTGCTAAGCCCCCCCCCCCCTCAGTGGCACAGCGAAATGTCTGCGGACTTACAACGCTAGAATCCGGGTTTCGATACCCGTGGTGGGCAGAGCACAGATAGCCCATTGTGTAGGTTTGTGCTTAATTACAAACAAACAATCTACTGCTTGTGAACGTAGGTTATTCTGAGTTTGCTTTTGTGAATTTGGAGCTTATTAAACTGTAATTAATTACACCTCCTATAGATTTTTAAATGTAATAGTTACTGTGATCAATAAATTGTAAAGGTAACTTTTTTTTTACTTTGATGTCCTTTTACATCAGTATTCACGTGATTTAACAACAGCGATATTATTGATCTACAGATTTCGAGTACGTCATATTGAAACGATTTCGTAGCCTCATTACGTCGTTACAGTCCATGCTGCCGCGTTTGGTCATACTCTATTAGACGACTGTGCATCTTGACAATAGCCCTGCAGCGTAGTTTCCGTTGGAAAAGGCTCCGTGGTAAGGTTGTCATGTCCAAAGCACACCATTGCTTCATACTTGCTTTCTATAATACATCTAGCATACGAGGATGACGATTTCCAAGCGTCTGTTTTAACAATTCAATGACACAGAAATCTATTGGCACTGCATCCAGTGACTTGACCGGCATGTCTGTGAACGAAATAGCGTAAATACCAATTTCATTCTCTAACCGATTAAGGTGTGCGATAGTTAAATAAGAAGTATGGCTGAAAGCCTTATCTTGGTGAACCCTTACCCTACTGACCTCGTTTCCAGACGGTGGATCCTTCTTGATTATGTAGCTTACTGTGGCCTGGGGAATGTGGTAGGCTTTGCCACTGACCTTAATGTTCGTGGATTCTCACCTGTTACAAGACGCCGCACTTTGTTTACCATGGCTCGGGTACAACTTGTTGCAGGTCTCTTTCTGGATGGTCCTGGGTCTCTCAAGTTGATCCATATTCCTTTGTTTTCCAATACCATTAAGTATAATGGATATCCTCATCTTGAAAAATATAAATCCTCCATTTGAACACATCTTTGTGATTTGATTGTATGAATATTTTCTACCGGAAAGACCTGTTACATACCCTTTCCAGTTTTTGATAGAATCAAACTAACTACAAAAGACCAAGCAATGTTAATATGTAGTTCTAATAGATTCCGTTCCACCGCGACTTTAAATCGTCTGTTTTTGTGACATGACTTGCTGATCAGTATATCAAAATCGGTTTAATATAACGTATTCAAACCCGTAGTTATGTGTTTGTTCACCTGAACGACCTCTTATGCACACAGTGGGCTAAATGGCCACGTCAGAGGTCCCTATAGCCGTCCATAATTGTGGATTGTAGACCAGTGGGGGATAACAATCCGTCGGTAGTACCCGCTACCTGAAGCGAGTACTCGTAACTGACTGTCACTCTTACAACAGACTCACAACAAGTGGCGTAATTTTGTTTTCAAAAGTGGGGCAGACAGTTTCTGTAGCTATGATATGCATGAGGTATTTAATAAAAAAAAAATCATTGAAAAGTGTGTGGGGACATGTACCCCGTGAAAATTACGTATGTTCATACAACTGAAAATTCGAAGCATGTTTGGTGGCACTAAATCTTGATTTGTTATTTGTTTGTTTTGAATTTCGCGCAAAGCTACACGAGGGCTATCTGCGCTAGCCGTCCCTAATTTAGCAGGGTAAGACTAGAGAGAAGGCAGCTAGTCATCACCACCCACCGCCAACTCTTGGGCTACTCTTTTACCAACGAATAGTGGGATTGACCGTCACATTATAACGCCCCCACGGCTGAAAGGGCGAGCATGTTTGGTGTGACTGGGATTCGAACCCACGACCCACATATTGCAAGTCGAGATCTCTAACCACCAGGCCATGCCGGGCCACTAAGTCTCGAACCCATTATTCTCGACAGTCCAATTGTTGACCGCTCCTAGTACCAATGCTTTTGAATATTATTGACTGGTCGCTTTAATTTTTTAGAAGTGATAGTCGTATGTGTGTACATAGTTAGAAAAAGTTAATAATTTGTAAGGAATCTGGGGTTTCATTTTATTGTTGAAAGGGCGAGCATGTTTGGTGTGACGGGGATTCGAACCCGCGACCCGCAGATTGCGAGTCGAGATCTCTAACCACCAGGCCATGCCGGGCCATTAAGTCTCGAACCCATTACTCTCGAAAGTCCAATTGTTGACCGCTCCTAGTACCAATGCTTTTGAATATTATTGACTGGTCGCTTTAATTTTTTAGAAGTGATAATCGTATGTGTGTACATAGTTAGAAAAAAGTTAATAATTTGTAAAGAATCTGGGGTTTCATTTTATTGTTGTTGTTTGTAATTAAGCACAAAGCTACACAATGGGCTATCTGTGCTCTGCCCACCACGGGTATCGAAACCCAGATTCTAGCGTTGTAAGTCCCCAGACATACCGCTGTGCCACTGGGGGGGGCGTTTCATTTTAAGCCTATAACAAACGAAAAAATATGCTTACGTAATGCTTACGTTCAGAAACAGCGGTTATAAGAAATATGAAGAATTATTTATTTATTTATATCCAGTTTCGTTGAAAGCCTTATACAAAATTCAAAACATTCCACTGTACACTAGCGAAGAAAAATGATATTAAAAAAAAAACTTACATGTACGATTTCAGTTTGTTTACTATATCTGATACGACGGATATAAAAATTTTTCTCCTGTCCCTGGATTTATGAATTAAATATGAGGAACAGGGTATCCTCCAGGAGAGAGAGAGAGGCGTCAAATATTGCCATATTAAGATGAGTGTCCAGCCAGCAGTGGCGGCGCTAAGTATAAGCAGACAAAGCAATTGTATTTAGGGCATTGAGAAGCTCAAGAATCCCCGGTTAACTGGGATTTCGTCTTTTTTTTTTAAATCAGAACTTTGAGTGAATTTGAGCGAAATGCGTCGTTGGCAACGGATATGGCGAGCATAGTGTGGTTCAAGTAATATTATACAATCTTCTTCTTAAAAAACCTAATTGTCTGGATAAAAAACGTAATGTTAAAAATATAATAGGCTTAATGCTAATGTCTTATGACAAGTATAGTAAATTATAATCATGATTCGTCAGCTTAGAAACGGCGTTTTCAATATGATAATAACGCAATAAATTAGTACTTTTTAGGGGGGTTCCAAAAATAAAAATACCCCCTCCCCTGCTGGCCAGTGTTAGAATAATAGGTCGGTGTGGCGAGTTTTAATTTCTACTTTATTATAATTGATAGACTGCGTGTGTTTTTAACATGGGTGCTCTGGGAACGAGATATCCCAGCATTCAACAGTTGCATTAAATCGCTCCACTAGGGGGAGTATCAATTAGTCAATATTGCTCTGTGCAAGCATCTATATACCTATCTCAACAGCGTTTTGTGGTGGCTGTTGGTATTGTCACGAGCAGAAATTGTTGAAGCCAATGAAACAAGAGGGTGAATTAAAGGAACCATCTCTCCGTTTTTACTGCTTTATCAATTTTCTTTACATTTAATAATGAAGACGGTTGATAAAATATAAAAAATTTTATTTACAAGGTTCAAAAAGGTGAAACGTTTTACTAACGGAACTATTTCTTTTCTCTGTTTAGCCCTAAGTCTTGTTCAGTTCATCGACATGGTAAGTAAAGTGGACTTAGCCCTAAGTCTTATTCAGTTCATTGACATGGTAAGTAAAGTGGACTCAGTCTTAAGTCTTGTTTAGTTCATGGACATGGTCAGTAAAGTGGAATTAGTTTTGGGTCTTGTTCAGTTCATGGACATGGTCAGTAGAGTGGACTTGCCTGTTGCTTTAACATTTTGATTTTTAAACTGTCATGTAACTAAGATTTTTTTGTTGTTGCGTCATAGCAGGTGTTTTCAAACATCCGTCCCCGGGATGTGCCCAAGAACTTTTAAAATGTTTGACAATTCTTCGGCGGGTGACTCAAAGTGACAACTTGGCTCTGCCTGCTTCCAAGGAAGAACTACTAGTTGTGTGCCAGTGAGTATAAAGTTCATCTCGTTTATGCCACGAGAGGGCGCTGTACACAAACTATACGTCTGTGCATTCTCGAAATTAAACTTGCTAAAATGAAATAATACTATTTTGGGGGATCACAGAATTTTTTTTTAGTTCGTATAGGATATCGATACGTGCGATTAAAGACATAAAAAATAACTGTTTATCTAATATTTCTACCTTGAAGGTTAATTACTTTAACAACATGTCTATTTTAAATGGCCAGGTGGTTAAGGCGCTCGACTCGCAGTCTGCGGGTCGCGGGTTCGAATCCCAATCACACCACACATGCTCGTCTTTTCAGCCGTGGGAGCGTTATAATGTGACGGTCAATCCCACTATTCGTTGATAAAAGAATAGCCCACAGACTAGAATACCCATCGCTAAATCTTGAGTTACTCTCATCTGACGAATAGTGGGATTTGACTGTCATTCTTATAATACTTACAGCCAAAGACTGTGGAGCGAGTTTCTGAGGCAATGAGACACGAACTTTGAATCCTCAAATTTACAGACAGGGCACACTGTTGATTAAACCGCACCCGCCCCGATGTACTAAGAAGGCTAAATAGAGTTCGTTTGTTTGGCTTGTTATGAATTTCG